TATATATACTGTGCTTCAGAATACAATTAATTTATGAAATATGCTTAAAAAACTGTCCTTCTACTCATGTTAGGATAAGTTCAAATAGGACTAAGCAGTGACCTTGAAATGTAGGAAATTGTAGGCTGTTCTCTAATTTTTATCTCCACTGTACATTTGTGACCCATGCTGGCAAAATGAGCCACAATGAGCAAATTTTCAAAAATGAGTTATTGTTATTTTCATACTCTCTATTAAAAAAAACCTTCAAATGATACCTGATTTTTTGGAATCTGACAAAAAAAAAAACACTGAGCTACACCAAGGGACAGTTGCATAAACTTACAATATTAAGACTGTGTCTTAAGAACTAGTTTGACTGACTAGCACTTAACCAAGTGGTAATCAGTCTCACTTTTCAGATTCAAATTAGACCAATATACCATTTTATGTAACTGAAATTAAAAAGTTATGACTTGTCTTGAAGAAAAAAAAAATGGTATGACTAACTTTTAAGACTAGTCTAAGTAGTTTATGCAACTGGCCAGTGTTTGAAGTCAATAGAGTCAGCAAAGTCAATTTTGAGAAAAATCTAGTTAAAGTTTTCTGCAGGTTCCAAAACAAAATCACCTAACAACCATACCTTAAAATATCTGGTAATACTGTACCACCAAATTTGACACACCAAGTCAAAACCCATATCTATAGGAACAATGTATGTTTAACTTAATTTTTTCCATGATACTTAATGCCCATACAGGATGTTTTGTCCCATCACAGAAGATATTATGACTAGAGGTGTGTATCTTCACTTGGCTCACAATTCGATTCGATTATGATTCAGGCGGTAACCATCCGATTATTAAACTATTCTCGATGCATCACGATGCATCTTTTCCTGCAATTCTTTTATTAATAATAATTACTGTATTTATCATGATAGTTATTTTTGTTATTTTATCTTTGCTATTAAAAACAAGAACCAAAGATACAAATAAACAGAATCGTTCAAGTAAGAAAAACAAATAATCAAATTTAAAAATTACTACATAGTCTTTATTGTATTCATTACAAATAAAGTAGTTAAATCAAGAGTACGGAGTGATTCCTTCTTTTATTTTATTGTTTGATTAACATTAATGAGACAGATCGTCTATAGGATATATTAAGACCTACGTAATGCACAAATCTAATATAATGTTACACATCAGATGTTTTTCCTCAACATTTAACCAAACGTTCAGTTAAAACATAACAGATTGTTTGCGTAAAGACTCACCAAGACAGATATTTTGAAATACTGTAATTCTGTGTGTTGGGACCACACACTGTTTGAGAGGCATCTTTGTCAGTCAGCGTGAGTAAGATTCTTTTCGTGGCTTATCGCTCTTAATAACTCTTTTAACATCAATCAACTCCCGCACTTTATATTCTCATTCCTGCATGCTACTTTCAAAATCGAAACCAAAACGTCAGACGCAAGTGCTTTGCTTCCGATGGACAAACGCAACTTTCTAAAACAAAGATGGTAGACCTCTCAGAAAACGTACAAATAAAGACTTTAAATGTTTAAATAAAAAAAAGATTTTAAAAGTTTAATTACTAAGTGAAGCATTATATACGATGTCTGTTTATTTACAGTGTAATTATCTATTTTCTTTAACTCTCACATTAGCTCTGTTCCAAAACATCTACTACTTATATATATATATATATATATACAGTATATATATTATAAAAGTAGTGGATGTTTTGAAACAGAGCTAATGTGAGAGTTAAAGATAATAGATAATTACACTGTAAATAAACAGATATTCATAGAGATAGTATATACTGTAGATAGATAACAGACTGATTTTTAATATACACAGTACCTTTTCAAACACAGGTTTGTTGTTGTTCACATCGTCTACTCCTACAATGACCTGGGCAATGGCGGAGAGTGACTGCGGCCCACCGGAGGCGTTATCATCTGTTGCCATTACGTTCAGGATGTACTTTAGTCCCTGAAGTCTAGGATATGGGCTGGAGCGGAGACGGATCAATCCTGTGTGGGGTGACAGGCAAACATGTACAGCAACATTTAATTGGCCATTACCCTCATCTAAATCCCACTCAAACTCCATTCAACCTCAGCACCTTCTTTGAATTAGCAACTGATTCCTCGTTAGTTCAACATAGTTTTATCGCAATCACAACTGAATAGATAAAACGTGCTCCGGGTGTCTGAGCTGCATTCTTTGAGTACACTGCATTAGACAAACTCTTATTTCATACATGAAGGTTTGTAAATGACATAGGACTTGATGAATACTGTACATATGGAGCCATGAAGACTAATCTCTCAGCGCTCATTCATAATGCAGAGAGGGTGTTTCTGACCTTTAAGGCAATGATGAGTATATTTGCCATTCCTGAGGTTTGTACTATGCAAAATCCTTTATATATTGTATGTTTTTACGGATGAATGTATGTGTTGTTGCAAATGTGCCAGGGATATCGTTATGCTTCATACATTGTGTCTTATCTGCAGAGACAGCCGGAGTCAGCTCCTACGTCACCCTCCGCGGTACACCTATATATATATATATATATATATATATATAGTTTTACACTCTGAAAATAATCCAAAATACATCAAATGATTAAATTAAATTCTTGTTTGAACACATTAGCCAGTCTGAAATATAATTTTATGAATGCTAGCATCAACCACTGATATAGCAAAAAATAAATGTTTAAACAGTGTTAAACTCATCAACAAAATTACTGGGAGTTCATTTAGGTGAATTGATTAAATAACTCACCTAAACGCGGCCTAAATTAACAAATTTTTTTTTTGGTCTCACCAAGGCTGCATTTATCATTTATTTGGTCAAAACTGCTAAAAAAAAACACTAATATTTTGAAATATTACTGCAATTTAAATGAAGTTTTCTGTAAAACGTAGGGTGACCAGACGTCCCATTTTTCCCAGGACAGTCCCGTATTTCAGCTCTATTTTTAGTTGTTGTTTTTTTAGTTTGTTTTTATTTTACTTGTTTTTAAAAAATCATGTTTTGTCCCGTATTTCCAAATTTCTTTACGACTGGGTGATCAGAGCAAGTAGTAGAAGTGTTCTGTCATGAGAACAGCCTAATCAAAGGTAACTAAGCTTGTCGTAGGACAAAATTACCATCCAATCACAATTCGTTATCGATTAACTTGCAGTTAGTGAAGGCAGGATAAATAGGTGGAATCACTCGCTATCTCGGCTGCGCGCCCGCGTGATCCCAGTTCTGCCTGCGCCTTAATTGTTAAATACACACACAGCTGTCAAAATCTCCATCATGTGGAGTATCTCACATAATACAGTCAGTTATGGCTTAAATGAACGTAAACAGGTGGGTGAAATCCGGATATATGTGTCAGTATATTACATTCATTCGGTCTTAAATGGACAGCAACCTAATTAAATACCTGTTTGTCTCATTAATGTTAATCATATATATATATATATATATATATATATATATAGTGGTGTAGTGGAGGGTATACGCAGGTATACGGCGTATACCCACTTCTTTATCAGTCGGCTTTGCGTATACCCACTTCTAAATCCCCTCTGATGTGCATTATTCATTAGTGTCCTGCATTAGCCATGTCAGGCTGCACAGTCCACCATGACTAGCTAATCAAATCACATGTAAATAAATGCCAATATTCCCTAAACATACCCAGTAAAGACCAGTAAAGTCAGGATGCGCCGACTTCCCTTTAAATTTAATTCATAATTGCGCCCGCCTCTCATCTCGACAAATCACGTGAATGCAAGCGACTCCGGTCTGGGGCGTGAGTGCATGTCAGGGGAGGCGCGAAGAGTGATAAAATAATATTTAATTATTGACTACTAATTTGAATCAGTACATTATAATGAAAACAATACCTTAAAAAGGATCACCAAACCATCAAGCTCCAAGAGGAATCACAGAATGACAAACTTTGATTTTAAGCAAATTAATGTTTGAAGGTAAAAAATAAATAAATAAATAATAAAAATAAAATAAATAAATAATAAAAATAAAAATAAACAATATAATCGCTCATCTGAGGGAAAGTACAGGATGTGCACCATGAAGCATTGTGACTGACAGAATCAAATCAGATGTTAGGGTACAATATTAAACTGTGTTTAGGCTATAATACTATCAATATAGAGACCTGCGTATACCCTCCACTACACCACTGCTTTGAGCCAATAAATTTACTCAAATTATCTCTATATTGATAATTGCATCTCGACAAATCACGTGAATGCAAGCGGAGTCGGTCTGGGGCTTGAGCGCATGTCAGGGAGGCGCGCAGAGTGATAAAATAATATTTAATTATTGACTACTAATTTGAATCAGTACATTATAATGAAAACAATACCTTAAAAAGGAAAAGAAGCATGTTTTTGCGATCAGATTTTTTAAACCGGTAAACTCCTATAAACTTTTCAGTCCAAGGATCCAGTAAACGAATGCCTTCGAACAGTAACCTAAGTTCAAAACAGCTACAGAGAAAACCCGACCGGTTTCATCAGAGATTGCTTAGAGTCAGGTCTAGAATTATTCTTTTCAGCGTGTATTTGGCTTAAAAGCACGAGTGTTTTATAATGGACATTGCTGAAGCCTGAAGGTGTTTTTTAGATTCTGAATGGATCCGTATAGTAGCCTGT